TTTGAAAAGTATGAGTTTATAATTAAAGCATAAAAAGGTAATTACTTTCATAGAATATATATATAATGAAAAATAATAATTATTATTCATGTGTAACAGAAGAAAATAAGTGAAACAATTATAATGAATAAAATATGTTAGGCATTATAAGAATACTAAAATTAATAAAACACTAAAAATTGATCTAATATAATATGCTTATACACGTATTAAATAAATATGAAGACAAAAAATAAAAAAATACATATTCTGAATGCTATAACATAAATACATATATCCATAATATTAATTTAATATTCAATACATTTATAAAATATCCCTACATTGTATAATAATAAATTGTATATTTTAATTACCAAAGATTATTAAGTTTATTTTATTTTTATGAATTTTATTAAAATAATATAATTTTAAGTTTACAGTAATAATAATATATGTCACATGTTTTTTATTTTCAAAATACACTTATATAAATAATATATAGTGATATATTAATTACAATTTACACACTTCAAAAACAAATATACAAAAGTTAATATATTCTGTAAATACATAAAAGAAAAAACTAATAGCCAAAAAACAAAATCATAAATTATGAACCCTAAGATACTTCCTATTGTTTTGTGCGTTATTTTAACAATGAATGCTATTATCTTTTTAACTAAGTATTAAGTTTTTGTTTTTAATATATTCCTTATAATAATTAAGAAAACATACTACATATCACAAATAGTATCACATTATAATTAGAATAAAAATTATTGATTATTACATCATATTTTCCTTATTTTCATCGATTTTATAATTTTAATAAACAGAAAATAATATTTTCTAATATCATATACAATTCTTTTCGAATTTTGGAATTTATGTGCAAGGTCAATATTTTATTAGATTATTTTGAAAAAACATACAATCATACTCAAGATGGCAAAATCTATTGTAGGATAAAATTATAATTATATCAATTGCAATATTATAATAAATGCATATATCAATTTGCATTATTTTTATGTAAATTGGTTCATAAGTATATGTTTTTTTTAAAACTATTACTTTAATATTTTTTTAGTATGAATCTATATATTAATTATTTACTGATTGTCATAGTGTCATGAATAATTTTCATAATAATAAAGAAACTTGGAAAAATGGATGAATACATATTAAAGGTGGATTTCAAATATTTTATTTATAACAAACTCTGTTTATATATTCTATGAATGTATATAATATTTATAAAAAATATTTACGTTATCAAAGAATAGATCTTTCCTAACAAACCCTTTCACATATTTGTATTATTGGCTACATAATTATAAATTGAATTATTCAAACACTAACAGATAGATCAAGAAAGTTTATGATAAAATGACAAATATAGATTATAATAGCAATTATTTAAAGGAATTTCTTTTTAAAAATCTAATTAATATTACTTATGATGAGTTAGAAATACTCAAAAGTATATATGATATTAATATAGGAATTCATACTATAGAAAATTCTAATTTTAATATGTTGAAAATAAATGTAACTGTCCTAAAAAGTGTGAAAATATATATTATCTCCTCATGAATACTTATGAATCAAACCATGTTTATGATTTCCGTAAAAAATTAATGAGTATTAGGAAAAAATTTAATCATATACAATAAATAAGTGACTAGGAAATAAGTTTATCAGAAAGATTAGCTTCTCAATAAAGTCAAAAATTAGTAGTTTCTACTTCAATTTATGTTATTATAATATTATTATTAGCATGTGTGTTGTTTCTTATATATAGTATTAATAACATAAATGTTTACTATATAAAATAATTGTTAAAATATATTAATAAAAAATATACATATCCTTAAAAAATTATATCATCCATTTAACATGTATACATTTATTAGTTCAATTCTTATAGCTCATACCTGTATCCTCATATTATAAGTGTAATAAATGTATTTAAAAATATAGATGAATAATGAGATACATAAGAAAATAATTTATGGAATAGTAGATATAATATGTTACATTATTCTGTATAGTGACACCAGTTAATGTATATTTGCAAAAAAATATTTCATTTAAATAACTAAAAAAATGAGAAAATAAATACTTTTAAATATATTTCTATTAATATTTTCTTATAAATGTTAAATTATGATCATAATACAATAAAAAATATATAGATTTCTTAGAGAATTTAAGTTAATAATGGCTCAGTGGTAATTATAGATAACGTTAATAAAATTATTATATCATTCATGTTGAATGGCTAAACATAAAATGTATACATATCACAAATTTATATTTTTATATATTCTGTAGTTTTGTGAATATAACTTTATTTATTTTTTAAAATGATTTCGCCTTTGTACAAATATATAATGACATTGATATAAGACATTTACATATATATCATACTATTCTATTATATAGCGTTATACAAAAATGTAAGTTGAATTATCAAATAAAAAATATGAAAATAGATTTTTTGTTAGAATTATATTTATAATATTCAAATGATGTTTTTTTCGAAGTAAATTATATTTCCCCCAATTTATTACAATAATGTATGAAAATTTTAACTACATTTAAGTTGTTTAGGTAAATATAGGACTTGAACAGAAATACATCATTTATTTGATTCATACAACATACTTTTTATTTTAAATGAGTTAGATTCTTTTAAATTCATATATTTTATATATAATATATGTAAATATGACTAATTAGAACTTATTACACAACATTTTACTTATAATTATTATTACATTATACCATGCTGAATATAAAAGTTATAATATATATCATATCATATATACGATCTATTTTATTATAATATATTATTATAAAAAACATTATTTCTTTTATTAACATACCATAAACATTATTTATCTATGAATCACATAATTATATAAATAAACATAATATAAAATTTCAACAATTTTTTAAGGTAATATATATGTGTAAATAAAAAAAATTATAATTTGTACAAAAGAATGTGATAAATATTAATTATCATATTCTACCAAAAATAATTATTTCTAACATTTATATTTCAGAATTTAAGGTGTACAATAAATTTAACGTTATTTTTAATTATGCTTATTATTTAGATTTTTATTAAGCATTATATTAATTTCTTATTATAAATTAAAATATCCATTATAATATACATTCTTGAGATAGACCGTTTTAATTATGTATATATAAAAAAAATTTTAGTACATGAAAAAGAATAAAAAGCATATATGAAGAAGAATAGGTGTATACGTTTAATAAAACGATACCAGTATATTTTTATATTATTTATAGCATATAAAAAATGATCTTAATTATTGTCTATACAACTATATATACATAGGTAGTAACAACGTGCATATACAGAATAGATATTTATTTCTTGACGATATAAAATGCTGAAATTTGTATAATAAAAATATATTTAAATAAAATAAGTGTTTTGAAAACACATAAACATACTTTTATATTATATATTATAATATACACTAAAAAAAAGCATCCAAATTAAAAAAGCTACTGCGAGAACTAGTATATAAACAAAGCAGGTTCTATATAGGATATATTGTTTATTTAAAAGAATAAATGGTAAATCAGTCGGCATATATATGTATATTTATCTAAATAACTATAATAAGTGTGTTAATTCACATATTAAATTTGTTTATTACATTACGCATAAAAATTTCAACCTGTATATTTTCACGATTTCATACTATAATATTTCATATATTCTTTGTTACATGTATAAGTGTTTAAATGTATAATAATATATATGATAACTAGTATAATTTTTATTCATCTAAATATTATAATTATAAATTAAATTCAAAGCTCTTATTTTTCCTTGCTAGTACAAATATTAATTTCTATGATGACAATAAATTTCAGATAATACAAAAAAAAATAGATCACATAAGTAAATTAATTAAATTAAATTAAACATATGTTATAACATATAATAATATATATTATATTTTAAAACATACTATCCTCATGAAGAAGGAAAATATTATAATAATCTTTTACCTTTTGTTATATTGTATTTTCACCAATTTGTTATACATACTATTTATATTAAATAACCTTAATTGCGATATTAGGCAATGATTATAGCTTTTTGTGCTTAATATTATGCATAAATATAGAAAATATTACTTATTTGTTAATTATGGTTTAAACACATATTTTTTAAAATTACGATTATATTTATCTAGTATTCTGTCTTATATACAATGTGTCTCATTAGTAGTATTATTTAAATAAAATTTGAATTGAAATAACGATACAAAATTAATAAATAAATTATATATATTTAATAGATTAATTATTTTTAATTAACTAAAAATTTAAATAACAAAGTAATGTAATAAAATATAAAATTTATATATTACTATTTTTTTTTTATTGTATATTTAACATTCATATATTATAGTGTCTAAAAAATATAGCTTGTTAGACATGCATGAATTGAAAAAGAACAATTTGTATGGGGTAAGGATATTTTTTATATTAAATTTACATATTCATATATGTATTATATTAAGGGTTTAACAGAAATTAATTATTCCAATAGAATAAATATGCATAATATATATACATACCTCATTTATTGCAAGTTATTTGCTATGATAATATTAAAATCTGTGAACAAAAAAAAAATATAACTTTTATGTAAATTGTAGACCTCTGTTTTTTTTTATCCTAGAATATAGGAAGCATGCAACTTCTATAGTGAAAAATAAGGTTAAGTATCATAACAAATTTATTATAATAAAATAACTAAAAAGCATAGTATCATAAAGCATGAACAATAAAAATATAATATAAACCTTGCATTCTAAACCCTGTAATTTTATAATCCATTATCGTATTTTTTATTCTTTCTAATTTTTTATATTAATTTAATCATATTATAAATTATGATATCGTTATTTAGTAAAAATATAAAATAATTATATGAGATAATTTGAGATTTAATGTAGTTATGCAAAGTCCTGAGATAGGTAATGTATATTAATTCTTTTCCTTTTCGATCCTAAGAAAAAGTCTTCAGTATTCTTAGGGGAATAGCTGTTTTTTATATTATTTTTTATTGAACACACCTTTATATATTTATTATATAGAAACTTTTTTATTTTAGAATACTATTTATAAAGTATTAATTAAGACAAAATATAATATGTATATATTGTAGAAATAATGTTAGAGTTTTATAAATTTTTATATAATTTGACAATGTTATTCTTAAATTAAATTTTATATTACATTATATAACAAATAAAAGGAAAGTAGAATTACTGTTAAAAGCGGAAAACAAATAGAATAAACTGATTTTATTCTCTGTGCATCATATGTAAAAGCATAATTTCTGTTGACAACAAATGTGCACTTTTCATTGATGATGATTCATCGCACACGTTCTGTGTATATTCCACATCACAGCAATCATCAAGTTTGGTATTCATACAAAATTGTATTGGAAAAATTTCCTTTATATGATTTTCATCATTATCTCTGTTGCATATGTATTCTGATTTTTTCTTGTTAATCCATTTATTGAATGAATCACAGTTTTGTTCTTTAAGATTAACTCCATTTATTTTATTATTAATTAAATTATCCAAAATGCCTTTAATTTTTCCTAAATCATTATGTACATTTTCTGAATCTGAATCTAAATTCTCACATTCATCAGTATAACTTATATACTCATTTTCCCAGTCGATTTCTGAACTCATCCTACATGTATATTATTTGTCTGATTTCTGAAAAAATAAAAAACAGTTAAAAGTTATAACATTCATATAAGAATATAATTAATTAAATATATGTACATGGTTATTATAATTAATTCATTAAATATTAACAAAAAAATTAGTATTAAAGAAATCATAAAAATTACCAGGATTATACATTCCTTTTGATGAAATAAGTTTCAGTATACTGAATTCATGGTTTTTTGATATGTCTTCACATATGAGATTTCAGAAATTGATTTTTGCTTTCATTACTACAGTTATATCATATAGACTTATCCTTTGAATGTTTGCACTTGTTCTTTAAAATAATGTTTTAATTTTGTATCGTTATCTTATATTTTTATATATTATATATTTTTAATGTAATAATTTTAATTCTTTTAAAATTTAGTTATATATATTTTATTATATTATATTATGAATATTTAATGTTATACATTATGAATATAATTTGACAATAAACTATAAATATGTATTTTTATTCTCTATGTATGTATATTATTAAGTAATTTATATATATATTTTTAATAAATTGTTTTATTATAAAAAAATTTTTTTTTTTAAGTATTTACGTTATAACATTTCCATATATGTATGCTTTAATACAAAAATTTTTGTATTCATTATATATATTATAGATTTATTGAACTATTATTTAGTATGTTAAATTCTTTATTATTAAAAATATATATTTTATATTATATATTTTAGTTGATTTCTACTTTTAATATATTTAATTCTAGTTTTTATTGAATGAGAAAAAAATTTTTTAAATTTTATTTTATATTATACATATTCTTTTTATTATATTTTATGTTGTTCGTATTTAGTTTGGTAAATTATAGAAATGTAATAAAACACATTAAATTTACAGTTTATATTTCATTCTTTTCGTTAATGTTTTTTGCATTAGTGTTATATATTTGCTTATTTATTTTTTTTTTTATACTTTTTTCATCGTTTATTTATTAGGTTTGATGTTTTCGTTAATGGTATGTTGTTATTTTTTAAAAGATAATCTATATATTTATACTTTCTCGTTAATTTTACTTTATAGCGTTTATATTTTTAAATACTATGTTCATGGTATATTACTTACATAAGTTAACACATAATAGCCATTATATTATGATAAAAATATTCAGTATATATAACATATATAATATACATTTATATATTAGAATTATTCTTGCGTGTATATGAAATTATTTTTTGGTGTATCATCAGTATATGGAAAATATGTTTCATTGGTGCACATTTTAACTTATTAGACTTTGTGCAAAATTGATTTTGATAATCTTCTATTTTAACATGTTTAAGAATATATATTTCTATTTTTACAATTTCAGTATGTATTATCCTATACAGAATTATAATTTTAGTCAATATAATCTTATTTGTCATTTTTCTTACCATCTTCTCTTAATGTATCAATACACTTGAATGCTACATCTAGAGAATCATCAACTAACTTTGCAATATCATTCTGCTAAAATGCAATTAAAGAGATACAATAATAAAACCATAACCCCCAAATAACTTCTCCTTCATATAAAACCTTTATTTCCCCCTTATTTAGAATGATATTTATTTTTATTCTCATTACCATTGTTACCATCGTTAGAGTCACTCTCATTCGTGTTCTTTTGTTTTTGAGATAATTT